CCTCCCGGCTCAGCCGTCCAGCTCCCAGCGGGATGCGCAAGGCAGAGGGCCAGTGCCAGTTCTGATAGTAGTTTGGCGTGGCCTGGAAGGGTCACTGGCGGGTTATAAAGAATGAAAGAGGATTCCCAAGCTCAAGGCCAGGGGCAGCAGCTCTGGGCAAGGACAGCTGGAGTGTCGGGAGAGGAGCGGAGAGTCTGCGGGTTCCTCGCAGCAAGGCAGTCTCGGGCCCTGGGAGGAGGCACTCGGTGCCAGATGGGAGAGGTCAGGCTCCCCAGCAGGGCGGCCACAGCAATAAGGGTCCCCTGGGTGCAGCCCAGGCAGAGAAAATGTCTGCACTTTGTGGAGGATGCGGGGGAGGGGGGGCCCGGGGCGGGGGTTGCAGGGGGCAGCAGGGCAGGGTGGTGCCCAAACGGAGCCCCTTTCTTCTCCTGGATGATTGATGGCTTCTGCCTGACTGGGCTCCAGATCCTCCTGCGGCTTCCTGGGCAGCCTGCTGCGAGTCAGTGCCCCCTGGAGGCTCTCTGCTGCCATTGACATCTTTCCCTTCATCCTATGCTCCTTCTAGAACCTTCCTTCATAGCTGGATCGGAGGGGAGGGCATGCTGGCTTGACAGCACCAGAGCGAGAAGCTCTGGTTCTCGCTGGGAATGGTCTGCTTCCTGAAGATAGCTGGCCACTCACTGACCCCTGACCTCAGCCTCCCACTGACAACTTGCCACAGGCTCAGGGTGAGTCCTGAACCTTTGTTCACCCTTAACTGTAATTACAGCCTGACACTGACCCCAGCCCACACTGACCCTCTAACTGATCACACTGGCCTGTGGCCCTAGCAGGTGCCATGGGCCTCTCGGGCCCCAGTCTGAGCCCCACGGGGCTCAGCCAGCAACCCCTGTGCTCAGAGCTGGGGTGGGGAGGACACTGGTGGGAGGCAGAAGGAGGCCAAGGCCTCTGGGCCTGAACCAGCTCTAGGCCAGGTGCCCGATGCCCACCACACAGATAATGGAATCTCGCTCACCACCGAGTTGCTAGGTGACCTTGGGCAGGCGGCGTTCCGCCTCGGGAGCTCAATTTGCTCAAGTGTGAAAACCAGAGGCTCGTGAATTCTGAAGACACTTACAAGAAAACAAGTGCTCGGGGATCTTGCTCAGTGCGGATCAATTGAGATAATGCGTTGAAAACGCTCAGCCCAGTGCCAAGCATAGCGTAAGTGTTCAATAAATGCTGGTTATTAATGTTACTATTAATAACCCCGTCTGCCCACTTCACCAGGCGGATGAAGGCTCAGACAGTGGCAGCGTGCAGGAAGGCTCTGTCCAAGGGGCAGGAGGATATTTTAATGAGAGGAAGTGGCAGAGGAGGAGGCGTTCTGGGGGGCCAGCAGCATCCGGGGCCCTGGGCCAGGGGGTGAAGGCAGCAGGGAGAAGATAGCGAGGGGAGCACTTGCACCCAGCTCCAGCCTGCCAGGCTGGTCCCCCAAGGAGACCACGTGGTCACATGCTGCTCCCCCACCCTGCTGCCCCCTGCCGGTGTCCGCCCTCTGTGCAGACAGCGACCCTGGCAGCTGCTGGACTCAGAGGTGGGCCCCCGTGTGTATAACCAGGTGTGCCCGGGCAGCAGGGCCTGGAATGCCAAGCCTACTCCTGCTGTGTCACCAGCAGGGAGATAGCTGGGGAGGGGGGAGCTAACACCCACTCGGCCCCTGGCAGCCTAGCCCTGAGTGGGGGCCAGCGGGGCCTTAGCTGCCCCCGGTGCCCACGCTCAACCCTTCTTTGGAGGGAACTTGCCAGTCCTGCGTTTTTCCACCAGCTGCAGCAGCAACAGCTTCCCACACCTTGGTTTTCCTGCAAGCCCCCTGGGTTGGGTCTGCACCTCTGAAAGATGATCTCGCTCCTTGTGCCAGGGAGGCCGGGAAGCAGCCAGTGTTCGTGGAACCAGGCAATAGGCCAAGCCCCCACACGCGTCTTCTCATGTCGTTTGTGCTTCCGTCACTCTTCCCCAAAGGGCGGGAGAGCAGTCAGGTGTGAGGTGCTACCACCTGGGCACCAACCAGGGGTTAAAGGACAGACGGCACTGCTGGGGGCGCTCGGGAGGCCGGCTTGGGCGTGAGGTCAACTCCCTCAGGCCCCCACTCCCGGCAGGCACTTTAGGGAGGGAAACGGGAAGCCATTAAAGGCTTTGCTGAGAGTAGCATTCAATGTTCTGTATATTTAGAAAGTACATTTCACTGGCGGGGGTTGGGTCCTTGGCGGGCTTGGGGAGGGCACAATGATGGGCAGCAAGACAGGTTAGAGGCTGTGCCTGCCTCTGGGAGAGACGGTCATGTTTTCACCAACACCTGCAGGGAGGGAGGAAAGTGGCCATGTCTGGGGGTGGGAGGGAGAAGAGGCTGGTCACTGGGGAGAGGCCGGCATGGTTCCACACAGTGGCCTCTCTCCACTCCAGGTCTGCTGGCTACAGCAAGGCAAAATCCCCACCCTACCTGCCACACCCGTTACCTGCTGGAACCCCGAACTCACTTCTGTGTGACCCCAGGTGGACACTATGCCTGGTTTTTGTAAATCAGACCACAAAAGGCGCTTTTCATGTACAATGGTTGCTATGAATATGGGGAAGTTGTTAACAGGAATGGAGGAAAGACAGGAGATATATATATATATTTTTTTTTTTTTGCCTCCTAATTTTGATAAATGCATCTGATTTTAGTAAAATTGTATTTGAAAATTTAAGATTTTTTTAATTAAAAAATGCAGTACAATAAAAGTCAAAGAGCAGTTTACTTAAGAGGATAACAGCAACAAGACTTCATGAGAAAAATTCTTTTTTTTTTGGATATTTTCTCTTACAGATGAATATTAAAGTCTGCTGGTCAAAACCTACTGAATACAATACAAAATGTAATTCATAATAAACCGTCACTCCATGAAGATGGCACCTGCTCAACTTGCTCAAGCATATCTTTGAGAAACCCGCTGGAAACACCCTGCTAAAAGGTTAAAACATTTAAATATTCCCATTGAAGCGTGGGAGGGCACCATTAAGTCACTCATTCCGTAATTAGCATTTGAAAAGTATTATGTTTTCTCCTTGTTTCTATTAACCCCTCCTCCCTTTTGTATGATTCATCAAATTTTCTTTGATCCACTTACTCCTTAATGTGTTTGCAATTTTACATGGTTTCAGTTCAGTGGTGGGTAAGGGTGGGCGCTCACCTTAAGGCTGGGTGTCTGCCCTCACAGTCGGCACGACCCCCCCAGCAACTGCACTAGAACTGTAATAACTTCAAGCTCCTGCTGAGCTCCCCCCAAAACCCCAACTACTATGTCAACCTCTCTAGAATGTTAATTCTGGATTGTTCAGCTCTCAGGAAGTCGGCCATAGGCTTGCTAGTTTACTGGTTCCTGTTTGCCGGTCCTCACTCAGGCCTCTTCGGCAGCTCTGGGCTTTTACCTCCCAGAGAAACTCTCATTGCTTTCACTGCAGGTAACAAAAACAATTCAAACTGGCTTTAACAGTCAGAGCCTGGTGTCAGCCTGTGTATACAAAGCTCAGAGGAAGTCGATGGTTCTGGTGCAGATGGACTGGGATTAGGGAGGGTCCTTTTCTCCTCTCTCTCCACTCGCCTCCTCTCCAGGCTGGTAAGCCATTTGGGGAGTCTCCGGAACCCCCTATGTACGCACATCCCTTGATGATCGGGAGCGACTGATCACAGGTTCAAGATTCCACAGCAAGGCCTCTCTCGGCTTCCAGGCCGACCTCCTCATTCCTTTCCAGATTCACAGTGCCGCCGGGAGGCTGGTGGGAGGCTCATTCCACTCCCCTGCAGGCCTCATCTCTCAAGCAGCTTTTGGAAGGTTCTCTTTACCATGCTTCACCCAAGGTGTCGTCCTGACACCCTGCTCAGAGACCCTGTCACAGGCAAGAGAGAAAAGAGCCCTCCTAACGTGGTCGCCCGCACACAGGTGTTGTGCTCCTCCCAGAGTCCGGGATGGGGTGCCCGGCTTCCGGATGGTCTCGGTTGAAGTATTTTTCACGAGTCCTTTGCCATAGTCTGCGGGCATCCCCCTGCCTGGCCCTCTGGTTTACTGATGTGCCCTTCCGTCCCGTCCGTTCTGTGATTCAAACCACCACACGATTCTGTATTCCAGCAGCCTTCGTCCTCATCTCAAGCATCTCTAATGGGCTTTTTATGTAAGTACATGCTATTGTGTCAGGGATATCAAATCTTCCCATGTCTCCCTGAGGACATTAACAACACTCTTAAGTCTTTTTCCGAACGTTCTGATGGTTCTGTTTGCTTGGATGTAACTTATTCCCTTTTCTTTTGTCTTTTTCTCGTCTTTCATTGTGCGCTTTTCTAAAATGCTTGGTGGTTATTTACCTGGGGAGGTAGGAGAAGGGTGGGAGTGGGTGTTGAAGTCAGTGTTCGTCTTCCAATTCCTCTCTTAAATTCTAGCTTCCCTGTGGTGGAGCTGTTAGGGAGTTTAGGCCGTGAGGGCGGGGCCTCCTGACAGCAATCAGTGTCCATGCTAGAGTGGCCCCAGGCCTCGCCCCACCATGAGGCAAGGACTCAGCAAGCCCACCGTCTGTCAGCTGGGCAGGGTCCTTGCCAGGCATTGAACCTGCCCTTGTCTGAACCAGTCTCCAGAATCACGAGATAAATGTCGGTTGTCCATAACCGTCCACTTTGTGTTATCTGGGTGCAGCAGCTCAAAGGGCCAAATGAAGGACCATGGAGACTCTGCTCATTTATTTCAACCACATTGAGGGGTTCAATACACCTGCACCTTTGATGGGGTGGGGGTGGGCTCACATCAGAAATGGAACCACAGGGCATGGGAAGCGGACTCCGGCCGCAGACTCAATCCAGGCAGTAAAGGCAAAGACTCGCTGTGGGTGGGAAGAGTGAGTGGGATAGGAACAGACTTAGGCCTGGGCTGAGGCCTAAGAGTATTTAGAAAATGTCCAGTCCGAGAACGCGAGTCCGGGGTCCAGTGACGAGGTCAGGGCGCGCTGTGGGTGAAGAAGGCCGGGACCCAGTACACACAGGGGCCAGCGGCGGTGCGCATGAGGAGCCACGCTGAGCCCAGCGGGGGCCTGAATCGTGCGCAGGGGTAGACGGCCGGAGACACCAAGGGAGCCCAGTAGGAGGCCGCGCCAGGGGCCCCCGGCAGTCCCTGCCAGAGCTGGGCCCGCGCCAGGCCCTGCGGGAGCCCCGCCGCGCTGGCCGCAGGGCCTGGCACCGCCTCGGGAGAGGGCAAGAGTGGCCTGTGCTCGGCGTCAGGCCCCACGGGGCGGCCGTGCTCTGCCTGGGGGCTCTCCAGGGGGCTCTCCAGCGCCGCATCGGGGCCCCGCGAATGTCCTGGCCCCGTCTGGACACTGAGCCGTGCGCGCTGGCCTGTCTGTGTGCGGCGGCCTCCTTCTCCCAACAGCCGATCTCGCCCCGCAGGGCGGCGCCGGCCTCTCGCGGAAAGGCGGGTGGACTCTGTGAACTCCGCGGTCTCTACTCTCATGGGCTTCACATAGGCAAAGGGTTTTGCGAAGGATTTCAAGGGCTGGGCTGGTTCCACGTGGCCTGCTGCTTCCGCAGGGTCAGCTGCATCCGCGGGGTCAGCTGCATCCGCGGGGTCAGCTGCTTCCGCACCAGGGCTGCCGAGTTCCCGCGGACACCCACCTCAGGGAAGAGAGCAGAGCATGCGAATGGGAAATGAGGGCGGTGTCCGACAGGAGAACGAGTGGGAATGGGAAAGGGGCTGCCCGGGAGAACCCCACCATCCCCTGAGGCCCAGCCTGACCTCAACTCTCTCTCCTAGGTCGGGACGCTCAGCCTCAAGACGCCTGGCTCTGGAAGGACACCCCCACTTTACATGCCATCCCCTGAGGTCTAGACTGACCTCAACTCTCTCTCCCAGGTCGGGGCGCTCGGCCTCAAGACGCCTGGCTCTGGAAGGACACCCCACTTTACAGGCTGAGTCTAGTCAATGAGAGTCTACCTGAATACAAACCACTGCCCTCACTGTGTCTGTCTTCGCAAGGAGAGACAGACAGAACAAAACAGAAAGCCAGGGTGTGGCACTGACTGCAGGCGCAGGGTGGTTCTGAAGCCTGAGCGGGCGGGTTGTCGGTGATCTGGTCCGTATTCCTGTGTCCTGAGCAGTCCTTAGATAACTGCCTGGCTCAAGAGAGCAGCTCACATCTGGGAGGGGCTCAGAAAGTGTGGCTGGAGGGGTTACTTAAACCCATCACCTTGGGGGCCGGGAGCTTAGGCAGGGGGACTCCAGCCCGGGGGCTGATGTTCCTGAGCTGAGCGTCCTGTACCCGGGAGGACTACAGCACACCCTGAAGCCCATGAAGTCCTCTTTAAGCTAAACCGAGTTTTAGGTGATCCAAGGTCAAAGGAGAGGACTGAAAGGTTTTAGGCAAAGGAGCAAATCTTCACAGGGGAGGTCACTTTAGACGTTCAGGAAATAGGAGGGAGAGTGTGTGCCTGGAGGCAGGAGTGTTGGGCAGGGCAGATTTAAAGGAGGCAGAGGGAGGGTGGGCAGCACTGGCCAGGTCACCAGCACCAGCGAGGCTGGCAGAGATGGGAAAGGGGACAGCCAGGCCGCAGGGGTGAGGTGGAGGTGGGTGTAAGACCGTGGAGAAAATTTCTCCGAAAAAGGACAAAATTCAAAGTGCTGAAAAAATAAGGGGGTATGGGATAGAGTATAAAGAAATAGAGGCGTATACCACCAAGGGTTATACAATAAAACCATAAAATTTCAGTGTGGAGGATAAAGATCCTAAAGGCAGAGAGAGAGCTCAAGAAACAAGAATACCTTAAAAGTAGACATGGCAAAAACAACCAGAATCTAGCAAGTAGGAAAATGTTTACGATATTTTGGGGGGAAAGGATTTCCCACCAAAAAATAGAATATCCAAACAAACTATTACAAATCTAGAGTAGGTTAGGAGGTAGCAGTGCTGTGAGAAGCAAAACTGAGAGAATATCTGAGTGCATTTGAGCGTGAACAATCAGAAGACTGTGAGAATGAATTAGTGGTAAGGAAGCAAGTACTAGCCCAAGTGTTAAGTTTTAGAAAATGCCAGAAGTTGTGCAAGAGAAGGGAATCCTGGTGAAGGAGATGCTCCAGAGCATCAGGAGCGGTGAGCTCCAAACGTAACTGAACAGACGAAATAGTTGTTCTAAGGTGTGGGAATTGAGAAGGACTTGCCTGCCGCGTTCTATCTCGTGCCTTACTCGTATATCTAAGTAACATAAACATCACTAAGGGTAAACCACAAGCTGTGGAAAGATTAAAGGCAGTACCTTGATGCAGAGCCATCGTGCAGGGGCGTTTTGGGGGTCTCTGCTCTTCCATGAGGAATCTGTGGGGCTGATGAAAGCTGGTTAGTCTGAGGCTTCCCCTGCCACGCACCCAACAGCACCCGCCGTGGTAGGCACCGGGACCTTGCACACAGGCTGGCTGCCCAGGGGAGCATGGCCCCGAGGAGGGTGGCTTCTTGTTCTGTTAATCTGATTATTACATGCCAGTGGGAGGCCAGAGGGATTGGCTTAGAGGTGGGTCCGCTAGTTTCCTCCAAATTCTCCAGGCAAAGGTGGGAAAAATGAGATTAACTTTAGCGCCCTGCTGGAATACCCTTTCTTAAGAGGAGACTGGGTAGGCAAGGGGGAGCAAGGTTAGGAAGTAGGGGTGGAAAAAGGGGGCAATTTAGAGAGTTGAGCTGGACCCCGTTAGGGTGCTGCAGGGTCTACCCCAACCTGGATACTCAAGAGCTTGCCTCTCTCCCAGGACACCACACGTACCTGGTCTCACTGCCGTTGAGATCTTTGCAGCTGTCTCTGGACGTCTAGGGATTTGAGGCCTTGGAGGGGAGCCTGTAAAGTTCTTGGGGGCTCTTCCAGAGGGCCACTACTCTGCACCCAACCCAGGCCCCTTATATATTTGACCATGGGGATCAACATGGCACCCGATTGGGTGGATACCCAGGGTGGGTGGCCTTGACTTGACTTGGTAGGAGTTTATGAACCAATCTTTGAGGTCCACCCTTGTTCTGTTAATCTGATTATTACAGAATTATTCATCATTACAATTGTATTACATGCCAGGCCAAGGGAGGGTGGTTAACAGGAGACTTGAGGGAGGAAGATGTAAAGAAAGCAACCGACAGAGGGATGTATAGACTGATACTGAGAGGATTAGTAGGGGTGAACCAAATAGGGCGTGGCGGTGGACAAGAAAACCGTGCTAGGAGAGGGGTGGAAGGGAGCCCTGCATTTTTCAGGAATGGAGAGAGCTAATGGGGTGCCCAAGAGTGTCGAGAGATGGGCGGGAGGAACCCACGAGTTCTGGTCTTGTTTTAAGAAACCACAGAAGGGTTTCAGGCAGAGAAGCATCTTGGGTGAGGTTGGGGAGTAGCATTGTATATAAGACTTCCCTGCTTGTGAAATGGAAGCAAACTGAGGGCACCCAGGTGAAATCAGGAAGGGCAGGGAGAGTGGATGAAAACAAACTCTGGTATATGGAATATTACTCAGCCATAAAAAATGAATGAAATCTTGCATGTGCCATGACATGGGGGAACCTCAAAGGCAATGGGCTAGATGAAATAAGTCAAAGAAAAATGCCATAGATCTCACAAACAAAAAATCCAGTAGGCTCCGATACAGAGACCAGATTTGTTCAGATACCGAGACAGAGAGCACAGCAGAACAGGCAGAGGACATGATGGGTGACCCGACGAAGTGGGTCAACAGTGGGTCAAGCATACAGTTCGGAAATAAGTAAAGACCTGGGGTGTCAGGACCAGCGTGGTGATGACAGTTAACACACTGCCTTTCGTTAAGAAAGAATTTTTATCACCTGAGAAAGTTCCCTCGGCCCTTTGCAGTCAGTCTCCTTCCCACACCCCGCTCTGTTGATGGGCTCTCTATCACTGCAGAGTAATTTTGTCTGTTCTAGAATGTTATAAAAATGGAATCACGCAGGATGAATCTTTTCTGTCTGGTTTCTTTTGTTCAGCATAATGTCAAGTTTCAGTCATATTGGATATGTATATACACACATCTATACTTGTGTGTGTGTGTATGTATATATATTCTTTTTATTGCTGAATGGTATTTCACTGCGTTAATACACAATTATGTACCATATAATAACCTTTTTGTCAACACTGGACCAATTCCCTGCAGATTCTGACTGTCCAGGGAGTCAGCCTCAGGACATCTCATGTTTACAGTGTCTCTCGATCACATCGTTTATTTTCCTGTGTGTTTAATTTCATCTAGTGTTATTTTATTCATCGTAGCTCCTCACATATAAAATCCACTACTAATATTGCCAGTAAGAGGCCACATCGAGTGATTGGTATGGATATGAAATTAAAAGAGATTAACGACTATAAAAGTGGGAAATCAGTGAAGGCCACTTCTCTTCAGTCAGGCATATCCCGTTCCCCCATAGTTAGGAGCTTAAAAAACAAAGTGACAGAGCTGGTGAAAAAATCTACGTCATTGATAGTACTGAGAAGGGCCTATATCAGATCTGGAGAAACTTTTAATAATCTGGATTGAGAGCCAGGCACAGAATCATATCCCTCTCAGCTCCATGACATTTGAGACCAAAACAAAAAAATTGTGATGTTGAAAGAAAGACAGGACCCAACTGTGATGTTGAATTTACTGCTAGCTCTGGGTGGTTGAAATGATTCAGGAATCACTGCTGATTGCATAAAGTAAAAGTGAATGGAGAGTTTGGGAGTGGTGAAACTGATTGTGGAGGAAAATTACTTGCCAGAGCAAATCTTCAATATGGATGGAATCTCCCTACCCTGGAAATGAGATGCCTAAAATGACTTTCATCCCTAAGAAGGCCAAATCAATGCCAAGTTTCAAGGTGTTTTTTTTTTTTTTAAAGATTTATTTATTTGTGCATACAGAACTGGGGTACAGGCCAGAGGCTCAGGGGTGGCGAGAGGCTTCACCAGAGACAGAGTGGGGAGCAGAACAGGCAGATCGACAAAGTACACTGCTGAGGGGAGCAGCGGGCGGGTCAGGAGAGGTCTGCCACGCCATGTGGTCACCTCCGGGGCAGGCAGGAATCAAAATCATGCAGAAATGGCTTTAGCTTCTTAGTGCAGTGCTTTAACCTGCTGCGCCACCACGGAGGGCCAAGTTTCAAGTTTTTTAAGCTCAGAATACCAGCCTTGCTTGGGGGCAATACTGCAGGCTGCAAGTTAAAACCCTTTGTGAGCTGGACAGTGAGAGCCCAAGGCTTCAAGCGCATGGACAAGCACACACTGCAGCCTCTATGGGAGCAGGGAGATGCCATGGATGACCCACCTCCTCTTCCTGGATGCCTTTCTGAACTGCTGTGCCAGTGAGATGGAGAAGGACTGGAGAACAACATCCCCCAGGATTTTGCTTGTTGTTGATAATGTTCCCAAGTATCCTCCCTTTATTGGGGATCTTCATCCTAATATCAAAGGCAGAAAAACTATGAAAATGTACAACAGTGAGGTCAACCTAGGGAAAGAGTCACCTTATCAAAATAGTATGGTGTTGCAAAGGAACAAGCAAATTAGGGGCTGAAAAGAGATCAGAAATACCGAACGGCTAACAACAGTACCTGACACGTATTAAGGTATTCCTGTCCGGTATTGTTCCCAGTGCTTCCAGATATTCTTGCAACTCTCCCAGCGACGTTGGTGTGTACATGCTACTGTGACACTCACTTTGAAAATGAGGAAACTGAGGCAGAGGGCAATCAAGTAGTTTGTTCAGGTCACCCAGCTGGGTAGGAAGACCAAGATTAGAACCCCCCTCTCATGTTCAAGGATCCAGGGTCTTAACCTCTTCATTAGATTGCTGCCTTCTCTCCAGGAGTAAATACCAAGATCATATATATTAACTGTGGGAAAATGCGTACACTGGTTTCCTATGGCTGTTGCAACAAGTGATGTCAAACTTAGCGACTTGAAATAGCCCAGGTTATTAATTACAGTACTGGAGGGCAGACTTTCAAAACAGGTCTCACTGAGCTCAAAATCAAGGTGTGAGCTGGGCTGTGTTCCTTCTGTAGGCTCTGGAGAATCTGTTTCCTTGCCTTTGCCGATGCCCAAGGCTTCCTCATTTCTTGGCCCCTTTCTACATCTTCCAAGCCAGCAGTGTAACAAAAATACTTCATACTCTTGGGATCCAGGATTGATTAACTGGGAAGAGGGGGTAGAGTGAAGAGGCCTTGGGCTATGTGTGATAAACTCATTGTTTTAAGCCAGCTTTTGAAAAATAACTTCATAAAAGTACTTTTTGTAGGGAGTGACCAAGTGCGGAGATTAACTGAGGGACTGGATAAGGGCAGTAATAGATCAGGCCTTGCATTAAAGGGCGATAAGGTGGCAATAAACTGGGCCTTGCTTGCATCCAATTAACCGGGATGGGACTAGAAGAAGGTGATAATGAACTGAGCTTCACTCAAGGGACTCAACAATGAGTCACCCCTTTGGAATCTGAGTTTAGAATCTACATAAGCGACCCTGCCCCACTATAGGGCCGGCAGTAGCTGCAGACACCACCCTAGGGGCTTGTCTCAGCTGCTGTCCCGGAGCAGTAAACTCTGCTTGCTCGGCCTTTCTGCCTCCCGCCTTCCTGTCTTGCGGCAGGTCACAGAAGTTGGGACAAAACACCTTTACCTCTATTTTTTGGTGTATGATTTAAGGGAAAATTGTCAAATATATCTACAGAAAGTAGATAGAAGATTTCCTCATATGCCTACTAACCTACCCAGTTACTGAAACATGGCCCCATTATTTCATCTAGACCTGTGTTCACTTTCTCAACACTCGGTTCTTTTGAAGCAAACCCTAGACATTATTCATAAATTCATTTCAATCATAAATGTTTCAGTACGTATCTCTAAAATATAAGGACTCCAATCTAAAAGATAATGAAGTGAGTCTTTGAGTGGGAAAGGCAGCTGAAAAAAAAAATAGAAGAACAAGTGTACCAAGAAATTTAAATAACAAATCAGCCTGAAGTATGATTCAAATATGCTTAAAATTATTAATGAGATAAATAAGGAATAGAAAGCATAAGCAAAAACAGGAAAACATGAAAGCAAACAAAAACATGCAGGTTTGAAAATGAAACAAATAGAACTGCTAGAAATCAGTAGTCATTGAAATGTAAAATCAAGTAACTAGGGATGGTTTAAAGGTAAAAAATACTGCCCATAAAGATGAACAGAGATGGAAAATATGAAAGCGAGGTTAACAATCATGGAAGAGGAACAGAAAGGAGACACTAGTCAGAGGGAGAAGTGGAAAT